TAACACACACACACACACACACACACACACACTTACACACACACACAACACACTTACACACACACACTTACACACACCATTACACACTACACACACACACACACACACACACATATATACATACCTACATATACATATATTTCCTTGCTTTGCATTTGAATTTACTTTCCTGAGATGTCTTTTGTTTCACAATACTTATCATATATTAAATGATTATATAAAAATGCTTTAGTAATGAAATAACTATCCGTGCATTATAAATTTGTTCACTGAGCTTACTGTGATGTTTGGGATAGTTGCAATTTCTTGAGCTCATGATCTAGAGAAAATGTAAAAAAAATGTTTGCTAGCCAATGTATTCAACAGGGAATTTTTTCAACATTTCAGGATGAAGCAAGTTGGATGGGAGTTTACATCACATTCGGCGGTGTTGTTTTGGCTGTCATAGCTGCAAGATTTTCTGATTTGCTTTTTGGATATATGAAACTAACAATCATAGTATTGATGGTGATTGCAACTGGAGGATATACCTGGTTTCTTCTGCTGATGAATAAGTGTCTTCCTTTTAGTAAAGGTTGGAAGACCATTTTTTCATTTTTGTGTACTGTTAGTCATGAATCTGATGTAAATGGTTAAAAAAATTTAAAAGTACTTGTTGGAGGTCACATGAAAATTCTCATAGAATGAAATTAGGCCTTTTTACTTGGGGTGTTTCTATTTAAATTTTCAATATGTTTCCAGCACAGCTGTTCATCAGTGTGATTATTGGAGCTTCATTCAACTATGCTTGCTCACCACTATTTTTTGAGCTTGCTGCAGAGTTGGCCTTTCCGGTATCAGAAGGAGTGGTAGGAGGACTCATGACAATGAGCTGGAATATAGTCGGTGCAGTTTTCCTCCTCACAATGCAGACCCAAACAAAGAGTAAGTGAGGGGGAATGAGGCAGAGAGAGAGTGTGAGGCAGAGAGAGAGTGTGAGGCAGAGAGAGAGTATGAGGCAGAGAGAGAGTAGCAGAGAGAAAGTAGAGGCAGAGAGAGAGTAAAGGCAGAGAGAGAGTAGAGGCAGAGAGAGAGTGGTGAGGCAGAGAGAGAGTGTGAGGCAGAGAGAGAGTGTGATGGCAGAGGAGAGTATGAGGCAGAGAGAGATGAGGCAGAGAGAGAGATGTGAGGCAGAAGAGAGAGTGTGAGGGGAGAGAGAAGAGCAGAGAGAGAGTGTGAGCAGAGAGAGAGTGAGGCAAGAGAGAGAGCGAGAGAGTATGAGGCAGAGAGAGAGTATGAGGCCGAGAGATGGAGAGAGAGTGTGAGGCAGAGAGAGTGAGAGAGAGTGTGAGGCAGAGAGAGTGTGAGGCTGAAAGAGTAAGAGAGAGTGTGAGGGTGAGAGCGTGAGAGAGAGTGTGAGGATGAGAGAGGGTGAGAGAGTGAGACAGAGTGTGAGGTGAGAAGTGAGAGAGAGAAGTGAGTGAGAGAGATGATGTGAGAGAGAGTGAGTGAGAGAGTGATGTGAGGATGAGAAGAGTGAGAGAGAGTGTGAGGATGAGAGAGTGAGAGAGAGTGTGAAGATGAGAGAGCGAGGAGAGAGAGCGAGAGAGAGAGAGGAAGAGACGAGAGAGTGAGAGAAGAGAGAGCGAGAGAGAGATGAGCGAGAGAGAGAGCGACGAGAGAGAGCGAGAAGAGAGAGCGAGAGAGAGAGCGAAGAGAGAGCGAGAGAAGAGAGCGAGAGAGAGAGCGAGGAGAGAGAGAGTGAGAAGAAGAGAGAGTGAGAGAGAGAGAGTGAGAGAAGAGAGAGTGAGAGAGAGAGAGTGAGAGAAGAGAAGAGTGAGAGAGAGAGAGTGAAGAAGAGAGAAAGTGAGAGAGAGAGAGTTAGAGAGAGAGAGGAGAGAGAGAGAGTGAGAGAGCAGAGGAGTGAGAGAAGAGAAGAGAGAGAGAGAGAGAGAGAGAGAGAGAGAGAGAGAGAGAGAGAGAGAGAGAGAGAGAGAGAGAAGAGAGAGAGAGAGGAAGAGATTGGAAAGAGAGAGAGAAAGTTGAAAAAGAGAAGAAAGATAAGGGATGAAAATGAGAGAGAAAGGATGGATAAAGAAGAAGTAAATGAATTGGTAAAGAAGAGAGAGAAAAGAACGGTAGAAAAGAGAGAAGAGAGAGTAGCAGAGAGAGAGAGAGAGAGTAGAGAGAGAGAGAGAGGAGAGAGAGAGAGAGAGAGAGAGAGAGGAGAGAGAGAGAGAGAGAAGAGGACGGGAAAAATGAGAGGAGAGAGAGAGATGGAAAGAGAGAGAGAAAGAGATGGAAAAGAGGAGAGAGAGAGAGAGATGAAAAAAGAGAGAGAGAAAAGATAGGAAAAAGAGAGAGAGAAGATATGAAAAAGAGAGAGAGGAAAGAGATGGATAAGTAAGAGAGAGAGAATGAGATAGATAAGAGAGAGAGAGAGACATGAGATGGAAAGAGAGAGAGAGAGAAAGAGATGGAAAGAGAGAGAGAGAGAGAAAGAGATGGAAAGAGAGAGAGAGAGAGTGAGAGAATAGAGATTGGACAACAAAGAGAGAGAGAGAAAGAGATAGAAAAAGAGGAGGAGAGAGAAGAGCATGGGAAGAGAGAGAGAGAGAGGGAAAGAGATGAAAGAGAGAAGAGAGAGAGAAGAGATGGAAGAGAGAGAGAGAGAGAGAGAAAGAGATGGAAAGAGAGAAGAGGAGAGAAGAGATTGGAAAGAAGAGAGAGAGAGAGAGAAAGAGATGGAAAGAGAGAGAGAGAGAGAAAGAGATGGAAAGAGAGAGAAAGAGATGGAAAGAGAGAGAAAGGAGATGGAAACGAGAGAGGAGAGAAGATGGAAAGAGAGAGAAGAGATTGAGAAAGAGATGGAAAGAGAGAGAGGAGAGAAAGAGATGGAAGAGAGAGAGTGAGAGAAAGAGCATGAAAGAGGAGAGAGAGAGAAGAGAGAGAGAGAGAGAGAGAGAGAGAGAGAGAGAGAGAGAGAGAGAGAGAGAGAGAGAGACGATAGGAGAGAGAGAGATGAAAGCAGAGAGAGGAGAGAAAGAGATGAAAGAGAAGAGAGAGAGAGAGAGAAAGAGATGTGAATAGAAGAAGAGAGGAAGAGAGAAGAGATGGAAAGAGAGAAGAAAAGAGAGAGAGAAAGAAAGAGATGAAGAGAGAAAGAAAGAGATGGAAAGAGACGAATAGAGATGGAAAAAAGAGAGAAAGAGATGGAAAAAAAGAAAAGAGAAAAGAGATGGAAAAAGAGAGAGAAAGAGATGAAAGAGAGAGATGAGAGAGATGGAAAGAGAGAAAGAGAGAGATGGATAAGAGAGAGAGAGAGAGATGGAAAGAAGAGAGAAGAGTGAAAGAGAGGAGAGAGAGGAAAGAGATGGAAAAGATGAGAGAGAAGAGAAGAGATGGAAAGAGTGAAGAGAGAGAGTAGAAAGAGGATGGAAAGAGAGAGAGAGAGACGAAAGAGATGGAAACGAGAGAGAGAGAAAGAAAGAGATGGAAAGAGAGAAAGAAAGAGATGGAAAGAGAGAAAGCGATGGAAAAAAGAGAGAAAGAGATGGAAAAAAGAAAGAGAGAAGAGATGAAAAAGGAGAGAAAGAGAATGGAAAAAAGAGAGAAAGAGATGGAAAAAAGAGAAGAAAAAAAAAAAAAAAAAAGGGGAAAGGTGAAAAGAAGAGAGGATGGAAAGAGAAGAAGAGAGATGAAGAGAGAGAGAGGAGAAATGGAACAGAGGAGAGAGAGAGACGAAGATGAAGGAGAGAGAGAGAGAGAGAGATGGAAAGAAAGAGAGAGAGAGAGATGGAAAGCAGAGAGAGAGAAGATGGAAATGAAAGAGAGAGAGAGATGGAATAGAGAAGAGAGAGAGAGAGATGGAAGTAAAGAAGAGAGAAGAGATTGGAAAAAGAGAGAGAGAGAGAGATGGAAAGAGAGAGAGAGAGATGAAAAAGAGAGAGAGAGAGAATGGAGAGAGAGAGAGAGATGGAAAGAAGAGAGAGAGGAAATGGAACAGGAGAAAGAGGAAGATGGAAGAGAGAGAGAGAGGAGATGGAAAGAGAGAGAGAGAGATGGAAAAGAGAGAGAGAGAGAGAAAAGAGAGAAGAGAGAGAGATGGAAAGAGAGAGAGAGAGAGATGGAAAGAGAGAGAGAGAGAGATGGAAAGAGGAGAGAGAGAGAGATGGAATAAGAGAGAGAGAGAAGAGATGGTAAAGAGAGAGCAGAGAGAGACTGGAAAGAGAGAGAGAGAGAGATGGAAAGAGAGAGAGAGAGAGATGGAAAGAGAGAGAGATGAGAGATGGAAAGAGTAGAGAAGAGAGAGATGATAAGAGAGAGAGAGAGAGATGGAAAGAGAGGAGAGAGATGAAGAGAGAGAGAGATGAATGGAAAGAGAGAGATGAGAGAGGAGGAAAGAAGAGAGGTAAGAGAGATGGAAAGAGAGATGAGTAGAGAGAATGGATAGAGAAGAGAGAGAAGATGGAAAGAGAAGAGAGAAGAGAGAGGAAAGAGAGAGAAGAGGAGATGGACAAGATGAGGAGAGAGAGAGATGGCAAAGAGAGAGAGAGAGAGGATTGGAAAGAGATAGAGAGAGAGATGGAAAGAGAGAGTAGAGAGAGAGAGAGAGATGAGAGGAAGATGAGATGAGAGAGAGAGATGAGAGAGAGAGAGAGAGAGAGAGAGAGGCGGCCAGAGAGGCTAAGCAAGACGAGCAGGCAGAGAGGCAGGCAGAGGCAAGCAAGAGAGGCAGCAGAAGAGGCAAGGCAGAGAGGCAGGCAGAGAGGGCAGGCAGAGAGGCAGGCAGTATAGGCAGGCAGAGAGCAGCAAGTAGAGGCAGCAAAGGGCAAGGCAGAGAGGCAGGCAGAGAGGCAGGCCAGAGAGGCAGGCAGAGGAGGCAGGCAGAGAGGCAGGCAGAGAGGCAGGAGAAGGCAGGCAGAGAGGGCAGGCAGTAGAGGCAGGCAGAGAGGCAGGCAGAGAGGCAGCAGAGAGGCAGGCAGATGGGCAGTGCAGAAGAGGCAGGCAGAGAGACAGGCAGAGAGGAAGGCAGAGAGGCAAGGCAGAGAAGGCAGGCACGAGAGGCAGGCAGAGACGGCAAGGCAGAGAGGCAGGCAGAGAGGCATGGCACGAGAGATCGAGAGAATAGACGAGAGAAGGAGAGAGAGAGAGAGAGAAGAGAGAAGAAGAGAGGAGAGAGAGAGAAGAGAGAGAGAAGAGAGAGAGAGAGAGAGAGAGAGGCAGCAGAGAGAGAGGCATGAGAGAGTCAGGCAGAGAGAGAGGAGAGAGAGGCAGGCAGAGAGAGAGGAGAGAGAGGCAGGCAGAGAGAGAGGAGAGAGAGGCAGGCAGAGAGAGAGGAGAGAGAGGCAGTCAGAGAGAGAGGAGAGGAGAGGCACAGGCAAGAGAGAGGAGANAGATTGTGGAAAATTTCCCCATGGAAGAAAAGGTGGAGGAGGAGGGAGGAGGAGGGAGGAGGAGGAGCGAGGAGGGGGAGGAGGAGAGGCAGGTAGAGGAGGAAGGAGGAGGAGGAGGAGGAGGAGGGGAAAGAGGGAAGAGGCAAGAAAGAGAAGCAGAGAGGACAGGAGGAGGAGGAGGTGGAAGGAGGAGGAAGGCAGAGAAGAAGAAGAAGAAAAAGAAAGAAAGAATGATAAGGAGAAGGAGAAAGAGAAGTTGAAGGAGAGAGGAGGAGGGGAAAAGGAAGAAGAAAAATCAAGTGATCAAGAAGAAGAAAAAAGAAAAAGACGAAACGAACAAAGAAAGAAGAAGAAAAGCAAAGAAGAAAAGAAAGAAATAAAAGCCAAAGAATTCGAGCAAAAGAACATAAAGAAGAAGAAGAGAAGAAGAAAAGAAGAAGAAGAAGACGATGAAGAAGAAGAAAAAGAAGAAGAAGAGAAGACAGAAGACGAAGAAGAAGAAGAAGAAGAAGGAAGAAGAAGAAGAAGAAGAAGAAGAAGAAGAAGAAGAAGAAAGAGAAGAAAAGAGAAGAAGAAGAACGAAGAAGAAGAAGGAAAAGAAGAAATGAAATAAA